GGCATCCTAAGGATGCTAAGGAGTGGATCTAGGATGACCACTCATGGACAGATGGCCCAGTCTTGGAGAGACGGGATGGTGATGCAAGTGGTATTGGACCACTAGTGCAGCAAAGGTGAATGGGCATGGCCTTAGTGTAACGGGCTGCGATGTCAGTGGTACCTTTGGGTGTCGGTCTTGGGACCGGACACGTGAAGCACTTGGACCAAGTGCAAGTGTTGAGTGGCATGGATGTCATTCTTGGGGCTAGCAAGTCCCAAGTCCTGAATTGGACTAATGAAGGTTGTGAATGAGACTCCTCCAAGTGGTCGGAGGTGTGGTTAAGTGACTAAAGTAGAATGGAAAAATTAATCGCTTACAGCATGGTCTTGGCCTTAGGACGCAATTAGGTTCTGGAGATCGAAGGAATGCAACCCTACAAAATGCACTTGCACCAGCATCCCAGCTCTGGGAAAGCTCCTCCATGGTGGAACTCTCACTGGAGGAGCTCAGTTTTCTCAGCACAGTGGAACATAAAGCATAAATTCATGCACCAAAACCAGTGGTAACAGTCACTACCATTTGTTTGCTCTTAACCCTGGCTACAAAGCTCGACCTGGAGCAGGTGATTGCAACTCTCCCATGGTTGAAGTGCAGGCTCTATTCCGTCTATGATACCCCCACAATCCTTAACAAGGAGGATGAGTTGTGTTCCCATGAATTTGTCCCAACCATCAAGCTTAGCTTTGCAGGAGGTGGGGAATGAGGTGGAGGTGGATTAGAGCCAAGCACCCCTCATTGTTGCTCTTTTCAAATATTGTTAAAATCTAGAAGAGATCTAGTAATGAGGTGGTGGTGGAGACTGGTCTTTCCTACTGGCCACATAGGGCACTCATCCCGCCACTTGCGGATCCAGCGCTCTACTTGCAAGCTCTCCTCCTCGTCTGTCAGTGGTCTTCTGGGCTAGTTCGGATTGGCCATTGGATTGTTTTCAACCCAAGAATTTTGCTCAGTTAACTTCATAGCGTGTCGGTTACATCGTTATATAGCTAGCTATGGATGTGGAGGATCGCTGATGTGGTGATCTGGTGTTTTCCCATACTCCACACCAACGTTGTCCTCACCACCGCCATGATCACCACGTACGGCAAAGCTGGCGGGCTATAGCTGACGAGGCAAGCGTTCGAGAGCTCCCCAGTCGCGAGAACCGACGTTGTCTCGTGGACCACCGCCTACGCCCGGAATGGATTCCCGGCAAGAGCCACGGAGCTCCTCTGCGAAATGCTGCTCCACGGCGTCTCTCCATCTCCAGCCACTCAGGGAAGCTCGGCGATGGATAAGACGGATCTGCTGGGACGCTCGGGCCAGATCAAGGAACCCGAGGATCTCATCGCCAACATCCTGTTCAAGCCTCAGTCGGTGCTGTGGATGTCGCTCCTCAGCTTGTGTAGACTCCATAGCGGCACTTCACGCCGGAGGAGAACCGCTAGCGAGCTCGTGAAGCTGTCCAGTCGAGACGACGCTGCTCCATTCGCGCTGGTCAACGCTACCACCTGATGATCGAAAAAGATCTTTCGCCTGTTCGCTCCTCCAAGGATCTTGGAAGGTCACACAGGCTCCTAGCAGCGTCGCCCAGGCCAGATCGTTCGGCTCAAACGGCATGCTCGTCACCAGCTCTTGAGCCTCGAAGAGTCTTCCTCCCCGAGCTAGAACGTCGACCATGCTGGAAAAGAGTTCCACGTTTGGCTGGATGGCATAATCCTCCATCATCGACACGAAGTAGTCCCGGCCTCTACTGACGAGGCCCGAGCGGCTGCAAGCGGCGAGAAGCATGCTGAAAGTGATGTCGTTCTTTGGGATCCCTTCCACGTCCATGAGCTCCGCCACCTCGAAAGCTTCCAGACCTCGGCCGTTTTGAGTGTAGCCGGCCACCATCGCGTTCCACGAGACTGCTGTTCGCTGCTCCATCCAGTCGAAGACTCTCCTGGCGTCGTCCATGCTGCCGCATCTCGCGTACATGGTGACGATGGCGGTCGAGACGATGACGTTGGATCGCTGCAGCTCACTCGGGATTCCCTCGTGGATGATCCTCCCGCTCGCTATGGATGGAATCAAGGAACAGGCGTCGAGGGCGCTGACGAAAGTTATGAAGTTTGGCTGCTCGCCGTGGAGGTCCATTGCTCGGTACAAGGCCACTCCTTCCTTGCCGTGGCCGTTTTGAGCGTAGCCGGCGATCATGGCTGTCCAAGTTATGACGTTCTTCTCGGGCATCTTGTCAAAGACGAGCCTTGCTTCTCTGGGACTCTTGCATTTTCCGTACATGTCGATGATGCAAGTTCCCAGCACCACCTCGGTCTGAGAGACGTCGTTTCTATCTTCGATGCTGCTATGGATCAATCTGCCTGTCTCGAGAGCCGCACCCGATCCACAAGCGTCGAGAGCAGCAACGAAAGTCACCTTGCCCAGCTCGACGCCTTCCAGATCCATCTTGCTGAAGAGAGTGATAGCTTGCGACCAGTGCCCGTTGCTCGAGTAAGCGGAGATCATCGCAGTCCAGGAAACTATGTTGCGCCTAGGCATTTTCCAGAAGATGAATTCCGCGGCCTTCGCTCGACCACACTTTCCATACATGTTGACAAGGGAGCTTCCCACCACTAAGCTTGAAACGTAACCAGTCTCCACAGCGCTCTCGTGGATCATTCGGCCTGTTTCCAGATCTACCAGGCTCGAGCAGGCATCCAGAACACTGATGAAAGTGAACTCGTCAGGAGCAACACCGTCCAAGTCCATCCTTCTGAACAAGCCCAAGGCCTCCTTGAAGTGACCACTTTGAGCATTGGCGGCGATTAGAGTGTTCCACGATACACGGTCCCGGGCTGGCATCTTCTCGAACAGGTAGCAAGCTTCGTCCATATACCCGGCCTGAGCATACGCTGTCACTATGGAGTTCCAGGAAACGCAGTCCCTCTCCGGCATTGTGTCAAACATCCTTCTGGCCTGGAAGAGATACCCATTCTGGGCATAAGCGTTGGTCATGATGTTCCAGGAGTAGACATTGGGGCGGTCGATGCTCTCGAACACTTTGCGTGCTTCGACTACGCTGCCACACTTCCCATACATCTCTACGAGGAGATTAAGTAGGAGCCTGTCCCTGTAGTGCTGGCTGCGAGAGATTTGATCGTGAACAACCCGGCCTTTTACTAAGTCTTTACTGTCCCTGTACGCCTTGAGAAGTCTCACGTAGTTGTGACTGTCCTCTCTTTTGGATTCATGGCGTTTGTCGAGAAGGAGCAATCCTTTTTCTTCAGACTGGCGGCAGTCCATCTAACCCATTGCGAACTTGATCTCAATCTAAGCTCGTCTATACTCATCACCGCAATCTCCAATGACGGCCATCAAGTCCTTTCCCCTGCTTATCACTGATCCAATTCTGTCCACGTCGTCCTCATCTAGCTTGAGTTGGAAGATGGCTTCCGAATCTTTTAGGTGCTCGGAAATGCCGAGTCGCACACCAACCATGGAGCCTGCAACGCAAGGCTAGCAGCACAAAAGTATCGTAAGAAAAAGGTACCGAACTTGCACAACCGTTACTTACTTGGTCGAGTATATAGCGCACAGCAACAGTGGAGATTGAAACTCCATGCTTCATAGCAACTTGTTGGCAAGTTTTTAAGAGTTCTTGGAACAGATCCCAGCCTCCCCAGGCATTCACCATCTAAGCATTAACGAAGTTAAGATACTCGAGAAAGTGATAAACATGTATATACCTGTTTGTACTTTTTTAGAGAAGGTGTATCGAGAGCGGGGCCTGCAAAAGGTATTGAAACGTTTGCGTCGACAAACTTTTCCGAGAGCAGCCCTCCCATGACAGTCCCGTATGTGATAAGCTTTACATCACTTTGCTCGCACACATCCTTCATGTGTTTTTGAGGTCTCATGTCCACCAGAGAATGCTGTACCTGGAAATATATTTGTTTTAGAGCATCAGCCCAAGTACCTGAGGTTGCTTACCTGATTTGAAACGATCGGGATGTCCTTGTTGACAATTATTTCCAATCGCTTCGTGTCAAAGTTCGTGAGAGCCAAAGTTTTGATCTTCCCTACAGCGCTCTATCAATATCTTAAAAAGAGCACCTGTCACAAGAGGGTACCTTCTTCTTTGAGATCCGTCAAGTGCTTGAGCGCATCCAGATAGCCAGGATTCGAGTATTCCCACCTAAGATACAAAACGAGAAGAATTTATAGATCGACAGAAGAGCTGACAAGGTCTACCAGAGAGAGTCTACCAATGAAACTGCAGCATGTCGAGGCATTTGACGTCCATTCGCTTTCGTGAGCGATCGATGCTCGACTCAACAAACTGTCTGGTAATCTTCACGGGAGAAGGCACCCATTTGGTCAAGCTGCATGAAAAGGATTCGTAAGCATGCAAGAAAATAGAGAATTCTACTTCAGAAATACCCTCTAGCTTGAATCGCTGCCTCCTCGCCTCGCTCACGCCTCAATCGGTTGATGAAGACGCCATACAGTTCCTCCGCTGGTCCATCTACAGCGACAAGAAATCGATCAAACCATTAAGAAAAAGAGTAGAAATCAAACTTACAAATATCAGCTAGATCGAAAGTGTTGAGCCCCGCGTCGAAATGTCGAAGCATGGCGTCGACAGCCGCATTGGACTCGATTCTTCCCCAGCCTCCGCTTGTCTGCCACATACCATTCACGACGCGGCAAATCTCCAGCTTGTCCCCTGCTCCACTGCTCACCACAGCTCGCCGTGGATCGGCCGCGACACTCGGCTGGGATGAAGACGCCGCCACGGTCACACACCTGCGGCAGTGGATGCCGTGACGAATCTCGCGCATCGCTCCTCGACAGGGCGACATTGGAAGGAGCGCCATCGCCATGGCCGCCGCGCGGAAGAATGCCCGAGATGGGTATATCCCAATGCCCTGTTTTTAGGGCAATATAGTTTAATCTAATTAAAATTGATAAGCAATCGAATCGAAACTCAAGATCTTCAATCACCTGGTAGCGTTCAGCAGCGCGTATGGAGCAGCGTCGTCCCGACTCGACAGCTTAACGAGCTCGCTAGCGGTTCTCTCTCGCAGCCTCCGGCGTGAAGTATCGCCATGGAGTCTACACGAGCTGAGGAGCGCCATCCACGGCACCGAGTGAGGCTCGAACGGCATGTTGGCGATGAGATCCTCGGCTTCCTTGATCCGGCCCGAGCGTCCCAGCAGATCCACCATACAGACGTAGTGCTCCAGAGCCGGGGTGATGCCGAAGTCGTGGAGCAGCAGCTGGAAGTAGTCGGATCCATCGCCGAGCTTCCCCGAGTGGCTGGAGATGGAGAGAAGGCTGACGAGCGTGATCTCGTTTGGTCTCACGCCGTGGAGCAGCATCTCTCGGAGGAGCTCCGTGGCTGTTGCGGGGAATCCGTTCCGGGCGTAGGCGGTGATCATGGAAGTCCACGAGACAACGTCGGTTCTCGCGACTGGGGAGCTCTCGAACGCTTGCCTCGCCAGCTCTAGCCCGCCAGCTTTGCCGTACATGGTGATCACGGCGGTGGCGAGGACAACGTTGGTGTGGAGCTCCTCCGGCGAGAGCTCCGCGTGGAGGAGCTTTCCCAGAGTGAGATCCGGGACGCTGGAGCAGGCGTCGAAGACGCTGGCGAGCGTGATCTCGTTGGGCTGCATGCCTTCGATCTCCATCACCCGGAAGAACTTGATCGCGTCCTCCCCTCGGTTATTCTGCGCCAAGGCCGAGATCATAGCCGACCACGAGACGACGCTCCTCTGGGCGATCCCAGCAAAGACTTCGAGCGCTCGCTCAACCATGGAGCACCGTCCGTACAAGGTGACCAGCGCCGTGCCCAGCACCACGTCCGAGGCCAGGCCCAGATGGGCCACATCGCCGTGGATTGCCGTACCTTCTCCCAGAGCTCCAATCTTGGCGCAAGCGTCGATCACCGTGACAAACGCCATATGATCCGCGCGGCATCCACTTTGATCCATCCTGGTGAATGTTCGTATCGCCTCTAGCTCCTGGTCAGCGTCGGCATAGCCGGCGATCAAACACGTCCATCCCACCAAATTCACGTCGGGCATTTTATCGAAGAAATCCTGTGCCTCCAGCATTTGCCCCGATCGGGCAAATGCCGCTAGCATCGCTGTCCAGGTCACAAGATCGCGCTCTGGAGCTCTATCAAAAAGATATTTTGCGCAAGCAAAGCTACTGGTACTGGAGTAGGCTGTGATTATCGCGTTCCAGGAGACTATGTCTCGCAGCGGCATCGAATCAAACATTTCCCTTGCTGATCGGAGATCTCCAGTTTCGGCATAGCCCGTGATCATCGCGTTCCAGGACGAAACTGTCTTCACGGGCATTGAATCGAACATAGCCTTGGCGTCGTGGATATGACCGGATTGGACATAGGCTGCCACCATCGCGGTCCAGGAAACATGGTTCTTGTGGGGGTTTTGATCAAATACCTCTCGCGCTTTGAGCAAGTGCCCGTTGGAGGTAAATGCGGCAGTCAAGACGTTCCATGAGTAGACGTTCTTGTGCTCGATTTTTTCAAATGCAGCCATGGCTTCCTTGGGACTGCCACACTTTCCATACATATCGACTAAAAGATTTCCAAGGAAAGTGCTGTGTGCTATGAGATTGTTATTACATATATATGCATGGATTTGTCTGCCCAATGCTAAATTCCTTTTTATCGCACATGTTCGCAGTTCTATTGCAAGATCTTCACTGCAAGAAATATGAAAAGGAAACTTAATATTCTCATCTAAGTACATAACATTTTTCACTTGCACATGCATATATACAAAAAAAATCTAGAAAAGATCAAAATATAAGACAGCAAAATTGCCGGATGAACAGAAGGTTAGAGTCTTTCTCTTCCTCTCTCTCTTGTTATTCCATATTTCTTCCTTGCAAACTCAAGCAATTGCCACCACAGTGAACTCCAGCTGCTGCCCAAGCTCCGCCGATTGGTCCACTCTCAACTCCACCGTAAATGGTCATCTCCTCCAAGTTTTGCCACCGGCAGCGGTTCCACACTAACCCTAGAAATAAAGTTACTATTAAACATATATTAATGACCTTAGAATTACTATTTTAGAAACATTTTTTGTCCTTTACAGTTATAAATAAATTCTAAATGATATATCAATTAAGGTTAAACACTACTCAATATTAAGTCATTGGATAGAGGATTAGGTGAGTCACTGTTTAAGAGTATGTATAGTAATTTGTTTTACTGATGCTAAGCAACAATGCTTGGTTTACTTTTTTTTTTTTTTTGTTTGTACTTGTTTATAATTTTGTTATCTGTTGTTGTTTTCTTATAATTATTTTTCATTTTAATTAATATTAAAGTTATTATAAGCTTTTAGTTTTTAAGATGTTTTATGCACTGTCTAATTAAGTATAGCTTGTATTCTTTCTAAATGAAATACTGGTTTATTTTTAAAGTTTTCTTCAAAGTAATTATTTTATATTTAATTTTTTGTTATTGGAAAAGAGTCCTAATAAGCTGAATTGCATGTTATATTTCTTAGCTGGGAATAATTCTAATGATTCTCTGTTCTCATATATTAGTTTAATTAATCACCTCCATGTCTCACACACTCTCTGTGTTGCAAGACCTCTATAACCCAGCTGCTTTAATCTAGCACTTTCTGATAACTCTGTCTGATATTACAAATGCTATTCTTATTGGTGATTATGGGCTAACATTGAAGCGTTAAAATGTGTAAACACTAATGAGAAATATAAATGCAAGATCCTTCAAAAAATACTAAAAATTATATTGAGCTCACTTCCTAAATATAAGAATACTATAATGGGCTTTTCCAATTTCCTATGCTTGAACAATTTGCAAACACATCTCGGTAAGATATATGGATGATCTAACGAGCCACAAGCGAGAAAACTCATCCTTGGGAATGTGGCCGATAGCTATCTCCAGGATCCCAACACAAGATGAGACTAATGAAGCTCTTTCCATGCATAAGTTGATTTACATTAAACACTAAGTAAATGACAACCGCTAGATTTCGCGCGAGGGTTTTGACATGGAGGTGTCGATGAATACGAAGGGCTTCCGGCGGTATGGCAAGCAGGTTCGTGAGGCAGAGGTGGCGGGGAATGTTCTGAGGCTGCCCAATGGTTTCCTGGGCAAGCAGCTGCTTCCACTGTGGCTCCATCCGAACTACATCCTTCTCGAGGATTTCCTGGTTCGGAACACCAAGGGAGATGCCATGGATGTGGATGAAGAGTTCAAAGTTCGGAAATCGCAGTTTCACTTGGTAGGAACACCCGGGATTGGGAAGAGCTACTTTGGGCACTATTGGTTCTTCAAGCAAGCCAAGGATGGCAAGCGGGTGATCTGGAGGAGCCAGGGCGGTGTTTTCGTCTACTTTGACTTCTCGCTCGAGGACCCCTTTGTGCACGCTTCCAGCGACTACGTTGTCCCCGGCCCTTGGTTGGAGGATATCGAAACAATCTGGCTGGTGGTGGATGGCGGCTGCAAGGGCCTCGACCACGATGGTTTTGTGCTCCAGTGCGTCTCTCCAGGTCGCAGTGGCTACCACGAGTTTGCAAAGGATGTGGGCGTGCCTTTTCACCTGGAAGCATGGACGCTCGAAGAGTTGATGCGGTGCAGGGATGCTCTGAACCTGGGATTCACGGATGAAGAGCTTGCAGAGCGTTTCTACTACTGCGGGGGCCTGCCTAGAGAAGTGTTGGATAAAAGGAAGACTAGCCAGAGCCTGAAAGACTTCATGACAACGGCGGTGTCTTGGGCCCCAAGCTGGGAGGCAGTGATAAGGGATGTAGCATCTGGTGCAGATGCCATATCCAATTACCTTCTCCATTATCGGCTGCAAAGGGAGCTCGGTGTGAATGCAGTTGCTTCGGACTGTGTGCTGCAGTTTACGTTGAAGTTCGCTTCCTTCTTTGTAGAGGATTTGGTAGTTGATAAGTTCCAGAGGCTGGGACATGGGAAAGTCAGGGAGTTTTTCGACTTCTGCCAGAGAGTTCCTGAGGCCCGCGCATTGTCACGGAAGTTTTTCGAGAAAAACGTCCACAGGAAGCTGCAGGATGGCGGAGGTGATTACACAATCAAGGATTTGGTAACACCGGACAAGCCTCACCCGGTTTTTGAGTTAAAGCCATCGAGCACCAAAAGGCTTCGTCGCTGGGAAGTCACTAAAGTGGCTGAGGGAAAACCATCGAAGGACGAGAAAATGCGTGGCTCTGCTGTAATCGGCAAGGGGGAATCCGTAGGATTGGCAAACCTTGATAGAGGCTGTTTCGTCAACTCGTATGCAGCCGTGTTCAAGTCGCTGGACTCGTTCGTCGTCCCAGATATCATGATCCAATGTACGTGCTCTCTGGATCACAAGATTTTCTGGGCTCCGGTCCTGGAGGTGGTGCAGGAATACGATCGTTGGTATTCACTCCAAGGTAGTACGCCGCCACCTTACTACCGCCTCATCTTCATTGTCCCAGAGTGTCGGTTTCGGGACTTCAAGTTTCAAGGGTATAAGAAGGAAGATGGCACTGACTATTTGGAGCTGCAGCCTGAAATGTCCAGAGTGAGGCAGTTGGCTTTATCTTTTCCATGGTAAGAGCTACTTCATGTTTTAAGTACTTCGGACAATCCTCGCATTTGACAGGCATTAAGAGGAATGATTTCTTCAGTCTTCTGCTTGACACTGTAAGTGTGGAGCCAATTATCTATAATATTTATAATCGGTCTTGCCACTTTGTTATGAGGTGACGAGACTTATGGCTTGGTTTGTCACAAAAAGCAGCCGCATTGCTGTTCCGAAAGCACGGCTTGAGAGCAGCGTCTATAGTACCTAAGAGCAATCGCAGGGTACCTTCACGGTAAACCTTCTCCAACTGGCCCCCTCCCGCTTAAACTCAACATCGCCTTAGAAGAGCTTTAGATTCTAGAGATTGGAGGCTTGAAAACGTTGAAATTGCTGAGAGATGTTGAGACGATTGTTCCAGTAGCTATGGATGCCAGTGAACTTCTTTTAAGTCACTTTGTCCCTGAAGAAAAAAGATAGATTTACTTCTCTTTGGAATATTAAAAAATTGATCTAAAAACTTTTACCAGGCTTTCATGCAAGCCTTGAGGAGATTGTTTCACTTGTGCTTTTTGATCTGGGAAAGCTTCCAAATCCCACACGCTGCTCATAACAACGATAGAATGTGAGCTAAACCGAGACTGTAAATAAAGCAGTACTGTAAATAAGACAATGAACCTGCAAACTTTAGGTATCGAGGAAGTATAGAATTTTAGTGCAAACTGGGAATTTGGGGAATTTGACAGTGAAGTGTTTGTTCTTGAGAACCACATGCCTGTTCCAAGCATCCATGTCGTGGACTTTCACCACCGTTTTGAAAGTACTAGTGGAAACTCCCACAAACTGACCGTTCCATCGGAGGAGCAAACTACAAGCTCAAAGGAATCCACCCTGATCATCACTGATCATCAAAGAAAGATGATTCAATTGCTTGGATGAAAGAATAGCTAAAAAAAACGTTCGATCGATCAGTTCAAAGCACGACATGACCTTTCAGTGGTGCGCTGAACTCGAATCCAGAGCAAATCCTTCCACCCCGTGAGAAACAACTTGGAGGGGTGCCTGGTTTGTAACCCGAGAAAAAGCACGGCTGCTTTCTGCGAAGTCCCAAACCCTGTGAAAGTATGAGATCCCTCATGCGCTATCATGCTGACCTAGCCGAAACAAAGACCTCAAGCTTGGGAGCTTTGTCGCTCATTTCTTCGTCATCATGAAGAAATCGACTCCTCAGATTTTCCCTTCGCCTGTGCGCCTGGCTCAATCCTGTGCTGCTGGATTGAAATCCATGGCACTCTTGTGGTCGATCCATCGCCACTGATCACGATTTCCATGCCTTGGATCAGCTCAGCACTTGGAGAGACGGAATTCATTGCTTGCACTGTACTGCAAGAGCTCCACTGTGATTGGCCACTGCTTACTGGTATGAAGAGAATCATTTAATTTTCATAGCCAAGATTTCTTACTGTCGCTCTGTGGTGGCGCTGGAGATTCTTGAGCTATGCTGTAGCTAAGGCGGCGACAAACCTCGACGCCTCGCGATTCCGTGGAAATCCTGATCGCCCAAAAGGGCCAGCATTGGTAAAAGTCTTAACCGTAGAACTTAATCTAACTTTACATTTCTGCCCGTCACCAATATAGAAAACCATTACTGGAAATTTTTTATCGTGAATGAAAAATGAAAATCATTACAGAGGTGTGTGCAATGCGGTGCGATGAGGATGATTACAGGGCATTATGCATTGAGTCTGAGATGGGTGTAACCTGTGAGGACGATGTCAAGATCAAGTCCAAAGGATGCTGGAGGTCCGCATAATATCATGTGTTGTGTACACCTGCCAGTGTTTGTGAATCTTGCAGAGCGTCAAGTTCAAGTAGACTTTGCCATGCGTGTCATGTTGGAATTTCCTGATGTATTCCACTGCCCGTTTCTATGTTAGGAGCTCAGAGTCACAGGGGATATCATTTCGAGGATTTGTGTTGCGTAGGAGATCGAAGGCCGGGCCGGAGGAGCTGACCATTTACGGTGGAGTTGAGAGTGGACCACTCAGTGGAGCTTGGCCAGCAGCTAGAATTCACTGTGGTGTGGCAGCAATGAACGGGGCTGGTTGAGTCTGGGAGGAAGAAATCGCCAAGAAGAACAAGAGAGAGAAGAGGACCATTCTTTCTCTCAAAAAACAAAAAACACTACAAAATTTAAGCAACGTATTTACAGTTAAATATAAATCTAACCATATCAAACTAGATAATTGTATCAATTCTCTCAATACTCTTAAACTCTTTGTGAATGAAGTGCCACCATGCAAGAAAGAGAACAAGTGCCTAGGAGGGGGAGTGAGAGGGATTGGGTTGATAAGGTATATATATTGTAGTTCAAAAGATTCCAGTAGCAATTGTAAACAATATTAAATATTTTTTTTAAAAAAAATAGTTAATCAATGGTTAAAAGAATATTTGATACACTTTTATTCATGGGCCTTATTTTTTATATTTGAACTTTTATGGATTATCTCTCGAATCGTTCCCTTTTATTGTTTATACTTAATCATAAATAATTAAGTTGAACATCACTATCATTAACCAAGGTATAGAGCCATGAAGACCAAATCTCTATTCACAAATCATTCAGCAACAATTAAATTTTAAAATTTACAAAAATTGGAAATGCAAGTGAAATTACTTTTCAACTCCTTTTGCTAAATTAAACCTCTATCTCATCATCTTAAAATCAATCTTGGATCTATAAAGCTCAATATCTTGTAAAATTTAAAATGACAAGTTTAGCATGCAATATCAAAACCAAGACATAAATTGAATACTCAGCTAAACTTATTTACAGTTAAAAAGTAAGTAGAATTGAATTAAGATTAGAAAATTTCATAAATTATAAACATGTTTAAAATTTATTAAAATTAATTAATTTAAATAATTATCAACTGTTAGATAGTAGAATATACCAAAATATCCAATTATATTCTGCAAGAACAAAAACAAAAATAAATTTATAAATTTATAAAAAAAATTGTTGTGCAATGTATGTAGCAATGCTTCATTTGCTTAATAGTAGTGTTATTCCTATTTATAAATTTAATTGTTCAAATAAAATTTTATAATTATAAACATGTTTATAATTTATAAACACAAAATTAAGTTTATTGATTATCAACCATTAGTTGGTACAAAAAAATTAGAATATACTAGGAAGTGTTTAACAAAGTTTATAAATTATAAATATATCTATAAATTATAAATATAAAATTAATCTAAATGAATAACAACAGTTAGATTGTAGAATATTGTAGAATATCCAAGCATATTATAGCTATGGTTAAGCAAACCAAAGTGGGCTATAAAAGGGATATAAATTTGACTCTAAGAAATAGAAAAAAATTTAAAGAAAAAAAATAGAGTGGGTATTAGAAACACTTAAAATTGAAAAAAGACATAAAAAATTAAGATTTTCTTATAGCATTCCATATAATAATTCAACAAGAGAACTACAAGATAACTTCAATCACTTCCCCAATAGAGACCTCCACAAACAAGTTACAATATTTTCACTTTTAAAGGTTTTCTCTAGAGAAACAACTTGGTCTATACTTACTGGATGCAGTGTAGTGTGTTTAACATTTACACCTCTACAAAAGATATTATTGGACATAAACAAACACAAAATTATGTTTATAATAAATTTATCATGCTTAGCATGAACTTAAGTGGGGATAAAACTATATGAGTGAAAGATCATGAATTCAATGTAAAGTGTTTGATTGATAAAAAAGACATGGTAGTACAGAAACTAAAATTTTAATTTCTTTGTGTAAAAAAATTATTACAATATATCTATACTTTAATAAATTAAGCTATAGTAAGTCTGTTTAATGCAAAGAAATTTATGGGTTAGAGGAAGTGATATTTTATGTTTCTTCAAGATATTTGGGCAAAGCACTACAAAATCCCAATTACAACTTTACAAGCTGATCAAACTTTAACTATTCATCTTTATAGTTTGTGAGAGCAATTTTGTGATCTGGGCACTCAAGTTTGCACTATAAGATGCGCCATGTGAAAGTTATGAAGAATTTCTGTGTTGGAGATGGTTGAGAGCATAGGGAAGAGCCAATTGGATCATTTGAATATCTCATATGAATCAAGAATAAGGAGCTCTTTTGCATACGAATGCTTGAAAACTTTGAAAATGGAGGTGCCTTTTGAAAAGTAGAATTGAAAACTTAAAGATATATAATTGAGATATCAAAAGGCTAGATGATCTTTGCCAATCACTACAGTTGAAAGTTGTGTTGAATTCTGGCTGCTCTAGAGAAATTCAGAATTTTATAGAAATACAATTTAAAAGAAAATAGCATAAATGTGAGGTTAGTAGAGTTAAGAACACTAATGTATAGCTTTTGAGCATATAATGTCAAGATTGATAGGCAAAGAGCTTATACCTTGAGCCTGAGTATTGCTCCACTCCAACAACCATTGCTCAATTAAAAGAGACTACTCAGTGCAAAGAAGAATGAAACTCAACACACTTTAGAGTGCGAAGACTAAACCTATGAATTATAATAAGGACCAAGAACCACAAGAATCTATCACAATAAGGCAGAGTTGCCAAACTTTCTGGGCTGCCGGATCCAACCAGTTGCAGCTGTCCGATGGGGGTAACTATAAAGGGGTTATTTATTTGACCATATACTAGCAAATAATTGTGCTGATGTTTGCTCTCAGCCAATGGGATGTAGCCAAATTGCATGGGGTGAGAGAAGAAGGCTTTGCAACATGTGTTGCATGCAAATGTGTTGACCATTGACTGCACCTATCATCTGTCCTGTCCAAACTTAGATCTGCTTTGCTAGTAAGGTTTCCATTTATTTAGTTCCTCCTCCTCAAAGACATCCTGGAGATCAAAGATGAAGAGAAGAAGCTTGTGGTTCACACTGCCTTGCACAAGTCTGAGGAAGTGATCGAGAAACAAGCACACTTTTGTCTTAGCGACACTGCCATCTCCCACAAGAACAATGCATGGGATG